GTCACAAGAAAACCAGTAGGACTACCTTCTATATTTCAATAGGTACTTTTCTTTTTATTATTATTATTATTATTTTATTTTACAATACTATTCAGTTCTACATAACAGCCACAGATTCCCTTGTTTTCCCCCTTCCTGCCCGCCTCCCCTTACCCCCAGCACACCCCCCATTCCCATCTCCTCCAGAGCAAGGCCGCCCCCAAGGACTGAGATCGACCTGATAGACTCAGTCTAGGCAGGTCCAGTCAGTGGTGGCGCACGCCTTTAATTCCAGCACTCGGGAGGCAGAGCCAGGAGGATTTCTGTGAGTTCGAGGCCAGCCTGGGCTACCAAGTGAGTTCCAGGAAAGGTGCAAAGCTACACAGAGAAACCCTGTCTCAAAAAACCAATACTACTACTACTACTACTACTACTACTAATAATAATAATAATAATAATAGGGCTGGAGAGATGGCTCAGCCGTTAAAGGCTAGGCTCACAACCAAAAATATGTACTTTTCAATATTGATCCTTTGGATGTCTTTTGAGAGAATGAGGGGATGTCCTTTAATGGGTGTAAGTAAAGTATGGCATTGTACGCAATGATTTATATATTCATGTCTGATTTTTCTTAGCAACTCTTCACACATTTTGTCTTTATGAAGATGGCACTCATCTTCAGTTACAATTTTCCAAGCTTTCATCAGAGAAAAGAGAAACACGCTTGACTCAACTTATCCTATCTGCCTGCCTCTTCCATTTGCATCTCCTAAACACAATGTAAATGAACCCCTTTCTTGTCATAGCATTCTCCATATTTTAGACTTGACCCTCACAAAATTTGTTGTATTGGAAAGGCAAGTGGTCCCGGTTTCAGGCAACCAGCAAAGTCTAGAGAGATTTCTACACCATTTGATTAGCAATGACTGCATCCTGGATCCTCTGCCCTAGAGAAGTTCCTGTTTGTGGGACAAGCATTCCCCCATGTGAAATGCTGCCCTTGATGTTCTATGTCCTCTACACCAAACAGCAATTTTCCTTTTTTGAGTTGTTCCCATTTGGGATCTTGACACCCAAGCAGTCAGTATTAGCGTGAGAGGAGTGTCTAAGGGAACCATTTGTAACTCAATTGAGTGAAAGTGGGACTGGTGAGCCTGATGAGACCTAAGTTAAGGCCCTGCTCAGAATGTATGAAGAGTTCCCATAGACGGAGGACCCTGACGCAGAAGCTAATGTGCACAGTGTGCCTCCAGACCTGCCCGGATCACAGGCATGAAGTGGACCTGACCATGATTTTCTCAGGAACGGCAGTGTGTTCAACTGTGATGGAGGCAGCCAGCAGCTCCTTCATTCCCGACATCCAGTCCCCCAAAGCCACCAAGATCACAGTCCAGTACCTGACACTAGGGAGCTTGTAACTCGATTAACACACTTCAAGTTTCACTTCAAGAGAGAATCTACTGGAATGTACCCCAGGATAAGAAACTTGTTGAAGACCTCACTTTCCAATCAGTAGAGAAATAGAAAGACTTCTGAGTGCTGTGTGCCGCAGCGCTGGGCCTTTACTGTTAACTGGGCCAAGATGACAGATGAAACCTCTTTCCTGTTTGTCCTGCCCACGTCCAATATCTACCCAAGATTAACTGTTGCCTCCACTCAGGCCTGCTTTAAAAATGAGAAGCCTTGGCCCTCTGGTGTGCTGTATTTTACACTCACTTCATCTACCCGATGGGAGTAATGTGGTGGTATATAAGTTGGTTTAGCAACAGTATGTGAAGACTTGTACTATTTTTGGATTCGGAGTGTCTGCCAAAAGTGATGTTTTTTATGTCTTTTGTACGTTGTTTTCCCTTCCTATATTTTGCTATATATAAGCTTAGTATTTCAATTTTAAAAAGAAAATTCTAAACCATTTTAAATCCATCATTCAGCTTCAACAACCGGGTGAAAAAAAAAATCAAAGATGAACAACTTTGTCCTATTTGGGGTATTTTTGTAAGAGTCACAGGCATGGATTTTAATAACACTTTTGCTTTTTTGACTTAATTCTTCACTTACAAATATGTCCACCTTTGTGGACAGAGGTTTAATAAGCTTTCTTATACATAGAAAAATAAAACAATGCATGTCGTTCATCGATACCCTTCTCACTTTTCTTACTGAGGTTCAATGGAAGAAAACTCAGGAGAGAATCTGTACACACACACACACACACACACACACACACACACACACGCACACACGCACACGAAGGAGTCCATGAATCCCCATGTGTTGGAATAGAAACGCAATGATGTCTCCATAAACACTCAGAAGGAGCTGTAATGCATCCCAGACTCTGGGACTCCCTGCTGCCTGTTACCTGCCTTTTTCACCTAATATCTCTCAAAACAAAGTGGCAGCGACAAGCAACTCCGGTTGAATAGCTCATCGAACAACCACAATTTAAACCCAAGTCATCCTGAGGCGAAACTCATCTCCCTGGCCGTTGTGATACACAGCCTGGGGGGAGGGGGTATGAAGGCTCTCGAGGACTATCAGTGAAGCTGTGGGTCCTTCAAGAAAACTGACAAGAGAGAAGGAAAAAATCTCTCTGTGACTGGTGGGGCTGGAAGAAGCCCCTGGGAGAGGCCCAGATTTAGAAAGAAGAAAATGAAAAGACGGAATGAGAGCTGGGGTTATAGTGAGGACGGTGGGAAGTAGAGGGAGGAGGTTGGGAAGGTCAGCAATGGCCTGCAAAGTTAGCGTGTCTACGCTCCCGGGCAGAATGAGCGTCAAATCACCCGGAACTATGGCAGGACAGTGTTCAGTCGCTCTGCCTTGGAGGATTCCGGCCCGAGAGTGGGAGTCAAGAATAAGGCTGGAGCTCAGTTCTCCAAGCTAACATAATGCTTTTTAGCTATGCTGGGCCCAGCAGAATAACCCCAGATTGCCCTGGAATAATTCCCAGGCCTTCTCCATCCGCTTAAAATTCTTCCTGGTGTTGGACTGAAGGAATGTATTATTTGATCTAACAGTGTCTACTTTTCACCTCAAATCCCCTCCCACACTCGCCACAGATTGTCGGCTTAAAGTGGTGAGTGTAAGCAGAAGTCGCACTGGTCCCTGGAGAACCTTCAGCGAAGGAAGAGCAAGTGAGGAGACACTGAAGCATCACTGCTTTGGGGCCTCAATGTGGACACTAAGCCAGACCCAGGTTTACTTTGATCTAATGGTTGTTTTTCAGAAAATTCATTTCCACAGCGTTATCATCTGGCTGTTTGACTAAAAGCTCCAACCTTTTCGGCTTTCCTTCTTTGAACTCTGCAGGCCCGACAGCACTGAGCAGTTGATTGTAGGACAGGAACTATCTGGAACTGAGTCACAGATTTTTGGTCACCTCACCCAGTTACCGACTGGCTGGAATAAGGTCGCAGGCAGGCTGTGTGCTGCCTGCCCCACAGTGAGATTTGGGGGAGGAGACTCCATTGCCAACCTGCCTCACAGAATGCCTTGACAACGTAAGGGTGTCGGAACACGGTTATTCCCAATAATATTCCCAATTGAGGTTTCCAGCGGACAGCTCTACAAATATTTGCTCAACTGTAAAAGCAAAGGAAACCCGAGCATCTGCCCCATTACTCAGTCCTTTGATGGACTCTGTAAATAGGAGGACTAAAATGCCAAATGCAACACAAAGTTAGGAAACAGTAAGAGCAACATGAAGCTTTCAGGACCACTCATTTATATGAAAAAAAAAAATCAGAACCGGAGGAAAAAGGATTCTAAAGCATGATGCCATCATGAAGTCCAGTGAGGTACAATGATGCAGAAGAGTGGGCTGCATTTGTCATCTTTAATTTCCCAGAGACCCCAATAAGAAGGAAAAAGAAGCTGTTAGAATTAACTTGTATAATAGATTCTATCCAACTCAGTCCACCCTAAAATAGCATTTCAACCTGTAACCGATATGGAATTATTAACAGGGTATTTTAGCTAAATTCTAAGTCTAACATGTATTTGACACACAGAAGACCTTTTTATTTGGACCAGCTGCTTTCCTGGCACTGAAAAAAACACAAAGCAGCCATCTTATTGCACAGCATATCTGTAGATTAATTACTTATTAATAAAGAAGTATAATTAATTAATAGTATAATAAATATATAAGATTAATAAATAAGAATAGTGGAGTTACAGGTAAAGATGTTATAAGGACTAAAGAGGCCAGATGGGAAACTGACACTTTCTGATAGATGAACCAAGATTAGGGGTTCACTTCAGCCTCTGTTCACTCTGCTGTCCCTTCCCAACTGTCTCCCATTTTCTCATTTCCTATTCTCAGTGTCCCTATGGGAGACACTGCTGGAGAGTGGACAAGCCGGGGTATAAAGAGTCAAAGAATGGGCTCGATTTGCAACCTGTCTAATGATCTTGGATGAGTTACCTAACCTCCTTGGTCTCAGATTGCTTTTCTAAGAAACAGGATTAGTTCCTTCAGTGCTGGGTTGTAAGGATTAAGTGAAATCGTAAATATAAACTGCTCAGCATCGAATGGACACTATAGAGCTTTCACATTTTTAGTGGCTACTTTTTAAGATTTATATGAGTTTAGAATAAGGGGCGGAAGGAAGAAAAGGAAGCAGAAAAGAAAGAGAAAAACGGAGTGTGCGAAAGTCTCAGACTCGTTGCCACTTCTCAGCACTTGGTGCCTCGAGGCCCCCTTGATCTCAGTAACTCGGTGACTTCCTCCCGGATCACCATAGTCCGGGCTGTGCAAACAAGCCAACAGGAGACTAAGAAAAGAAAGTTCCCATTTCACCAGTTTCTCCAATGCCATAGTGACCCAGGTGGTCAGGGGGAGAAACCTCAATGGGGGAGCGCATGCCCAGGACTCTGCAAAGCGTCTCGGACACTGCTCACAGACTCTGCCATCCAGAGCTACATCTTGCTCAGTCCCTCCAGGTCCCCCCATGTTACCAGACTCAGACCCTTCCAACCCTTGACCACTTGGAGAAGACATGAAAAGAGGGGGGACTCACCAGCTCATTCTCCTCTCCTTCATTGAGCAAAGCCTGATGGGCGTTCTTACTCCTCTCCATCTAGAGCAGCATGCGTGGGTCCCTTCTGACCACGGCGCGAGGGGATGTCAGGGCCACCTGTGTCTGCGACTCAGACGCTGCTTGTCATCGCTCCTCTCAGGTGCTTACAAAACCCGCTGGCACCTTGCCCTTTACAACAACAAAGGAGGAAGGCAAGGCTCTCCACGGCCACGGGATTGGTCTGCTAATTTATCTGCTTGATGTGTGTTTTTTTTTCTTCCGAGTGTTTATTTACCGAGCTACATGTGAAGTGCCTCCAGACTGAGGGAATGATGGGAGGTGGGGGTGGGGCAGGGGCAGGGGCAGGGGCAAGCTGTTGCACCAAAAAGTAATTTTCACATGCAGCCCATGAAAGTCCCCACCAAAGAATGGGTATGGCCACCGTGCTAAAAACACAAGGCAACAGAGTCTTATTTGTCTTGTGAGCGCTGTGGAAGCTCTTGGAATTTAGAGAAGCTGTGAACACGGAGTGGTGGTAATAGAAACTGGAGAAAGGGGTATAGGACTCCTTCTGGAATGGGGGGTGGGGAATGGAGTTCTAATCCCTGCTCTACTGATGACCCTGGATAAATCACTTATAGTCTGAATTTCCGGTTTCTGATATGTAAAATGTCAATGATAATTATAGGGATGATATAAGGGCTCATGATGATGTTTGCAAAAGGGCAAATGTACCTTCTGCCACCTCCATTGAGAGACAGGCAATCATCTTCTTCGCAATCATGGCACTAATCAAGGAAGAGACGTTTTGGAATAACTACGGAATAACTTGACTCCACAGTTCACAAAACTGGAAGAGGGGAGAGAAGAGTAAGAGAGATGATTATTAAGGATATAACCTGAATTTTCCACCCCCTGAATAATCACCCTTGAATTTGATGTTTTTCTCAAAGGGGGTAGGAAAATGGACCCATTCTTGGGTTAACTGGTTAATTTTTAATTAAGCATACACACACACACACACACACACACACACACACACACACACACACACACATACACCAAACTTTCACTATTTTCCGTGTGGTTCATTGCATCTATCCACTGAAGGGAATCCTTAACCCTTTGTCTGTGGAAGAAAGTTAACTAAGGTGAAAAGCATCACCTGTTGCTTGAATGAGCTCATGTGTCCTCCTTGACATTCAGGACAGATGAAGGTAATTCCCTGTGGGAGCCCACAACTGACTCAGTTTCCCAGTTTGAATCTGAAGTCTATTCTGAGTCAATAGAGTTCAAGCTTGCTTGCTCCGGGGCTGTGAGAAAGTCCTGATTATCCTGCAGAGCCTCCTTGAAGGGCTGTGAGAAAGTCTTGATTAGCCCACAGGAAGGAACACACTATCTAGCTGCTGATGCCAGCCAGAGGTACATTGAGATAGAAAATGAAGCTGCCTGCTCCTTGACTCAAGGACGGGATAGATAGTGGTTGAATGCCTGCGCTGTGCATTGTTCTACCTCTGTCCTTCAAAACTGTGTATAAGCTGGCTGTGAAATAAACTCGGGGCTGTCCGGCATTGACCAGCAGGCCTCTTAACTCTTTCCTGTCCTCTTCATTGTCTCTTCAATCCGCACGCCTCTACCCAGCTCCCCAGTTGACTGTCGGCAGGCTCCGACAATTCCCAGCCCTGGATGACATCACCCATGAGAACACATACAGAGTTACAGCTTTTCATGTCAGCAAAGTGACCGAGGTGACCCTTGTCCAGAAACCTAATGGTGCCCCAAATGTTGTAGTCCAAAGTCAAGGCAGGTTCAGATTTGCGGATGGCATTCTGGTAAGCTCTAGAGAAAGACATGCGCGGCCACTCTTTACCATTTACCCACAAACCCACTCCTGTTTCTTGTAAAGTAATTTCAGGGTTGTGTTTGTAACATGTCTAAAATGAATGCACCAATGAGTCATAACTTGTCTAAAGTGGGTCCAGGACCCCATTCTAAACAATAACAATAAAGGCAGCTAAGGGCAGCTGAGGGTCTCTCTCTCTCTCTCTCTCTCTCTCTCTCTCTCTCTCTCTCTGTCTGTCTTCCTCTCTCTCTCTGTGTCCCTGTTTTTCTCTCTCTCTTCCCACCATTGAGGATGTTGGGTTTCAAGCACAGGGCTTGTATGAGCAGGAGGAAAGAGTGTGTCTCCAGCTCTGGCATGTAAGTATTCCTCAATGAAGATGGTGGAAAAGGTAGAGTAGGTTAAAACCGTGCCTTCCACTCTCTTTGGTAGAAACAAGTGTCTCAAAGCCCACTTCTCAGTTTAAAGCAGTGGTTCTCAACCTATGGGTCAAAACCCCTTTGGAGGTTGCATATCAGATATTTACATTGTGATTTGTAACAGTAGCAAAATTACAGTTAGGGAGTAGCAACAAAATAATTTCATGGTTGGGGGTCACCACAACATGAGGAGCTGTATTAAAGGGTCTCAGTGTCAGAAAGGGTGAGAAACCCTGCTTTAACGGGAAACCAGATTTGGATGGCTGATCTAGGTCTCAAATTCTTTTGTTATTGTCTCCTCTTACCACCATAGCCTTACTGGAACATTCTATTTCATCAATACTATTGAGTTACCTACATGAGGAAAATGGTTTAATTAAGACAGACAGTAACAGTATTCAGCATTCCGGGGCTTTACATCTTTAACACTACAATCTTCAACTTGTAAATTCTTAGAGGTGCATTCTTATGAAGGGCGGGGACACCAGAGGGCAGTAAGTTAAGGTTTCTATAAACCAGTCTTGGAAGAAGTACTCTGTACTTATGCCAAAAGATGGGCCATATCTAGACAGATGACCACACTTCCCTGCAAAGTGAACTACGAATATGAACCAGCCGAATGCCAGGAAGGAGAAAGGGATTTGGTGGCCACCTAGTCAGTCTCAGAGAGCAGCAAAAGGGTAGGCCAGCCCAGATCTCTACAGACTCACAGTACAGAAAAGAGCAAAATGGCACCACAATGGATAATGTGCAAGGCAGGAGTGAGAAAGGCTTGGAGGCTTCCAAACATGAGGAGGATCAGACACTGGAGAGTCTCTGCAGCAGCCGACAGGCTTTGGAGAGGTTATTGTACCTCATTGAATGACCTTTTTGCAACAATTACACAGGTAAAGAGACATGTGAATTTAGATACATGGTCAAAACATAGGCTCAAATACCCTGCCCCTCTGATCGTAGGCAGACCCAACCAGCCCTCTATTTTTCCATCTTTACATCGTAACAAGGCCACAACAACCCACACATTCTCTACAGACAGAACAGAATAGAGGTGTGTCTTTAATACACGTAAATATGGTTGCTCACAGTGAAAGTGTAATTGTGATCTTTCCTATTCTCTACCTTTAATTTCAAATCAGAAAATCAATAAACTAAGAATTTTGTGACAAAGCCATAGATGGATAGAAACACAATCGCATTATCAAGGATCATAAAGGGGAAAGAGACCCTTAATTCCTCAAAGGTCTTTAAGTGGCTGGAGAGATGGTTCAGCAGTCAAGAGTACTGGCTGCTCTTCCAGAGGACCCAGGTCTAATTCTCAACACCCATATAGCAGTTCACAATGGTGTGTAACTACAGTTTATGTGGTTCAACAATCTCTTCTGGCCTCCACTGGCATCAGGCATGAAGGTGGTATATACACACACACAAACACACACACACACACACACACACACACATACACACATATGTATATACAAGCAAAACAACATACATTTTTTTAATTTTAAGGGGCATTAAATTGTGTGTGTGTATGTGTGTGTGTGTGTGTGTGTGTGTGTGTGGGAGAGAGAGAGAGAGAGAGAGAGAGAGAGAGAGAGAGAGAGAGAGAGAGAGAGAGAGAGAGAGATGTTCAGGTGGCTATGAATACCAAAGAGGGCATCAGATCTCTTGGAGCAGAGTTACAGGCATTTTAAACAATTTGACATGAGTGCTGGGAACTGAACTCAGGTTTTTTGGAAGCACAAAACGTGCTCTTAACACACTGAGCCACCACTGGAGCCCCCAGAAGAACCTTTCTGTATTGCCTGTCAACTTCTTGCCCTGTTAATTTATTTCAAAAAGAGCATCTGAGCGAATGAGTCAGTGTTAGGATTGAAGACGGATCAGAAACAGAGCCAACAACAGTTTTGTCCATGGTGAGTTCAAAGCCCAGCCAAGACGTAAGGCAACAGGATTCCATTCTCAGGGGATAGTGGGCTGCGTCAGAGGGCTTGACTGCAGACAGGGCTGAGACAGAGGGAGAACTGTGACTGGTGTCTAGTCCAGTAGCTTCTTCAGCTGAACACAGAACTTGGAGAATTAGATGACGTATGTAGAGTTTTCTCTCTCCAAAATAAAGCACACATATATGTCATATGCACAATATTTTACTTACATCAGACTTAATCTATAAATTTGTTGAATATATGTGTACTAAGCTTTCTCTCCCTCACTGTTCAAAGTGTTGAGAGGAGAGCTGTGGGAAGGGAAGATAAAAAGCCAGTGGGGTGGCCCAGTGGCTAGAGGAACTGACTGCTTAGCCTTAAAACCTGAGCTTGATCCTCAGGCCCCATATGGTGGAGAGAGAGGGTTGGGGGGAGATTCTCACACATTGTCCTCTGACCTCCCTGTGTACACAGGGGCATGTGTGCAACACACACACACACACACACACACACACACACACACACACACACACACACACACGTATGTATACATAAAAGGAAATGCAGATAAAAATCACTGTCTCTGCAAAGCTGACATTTCAGTGGTTAAGGAACAGCTGGGTCTGTAGTTTAGTAGGCAATCAGATGTCCATGAGAGGAAGAGAGCTGATGGGGGTAGAGAGGGAGGAAAGTCAGGAGTGGGGGCGACAAGGGACCAATGGGGGAGGGGCATTTTTAAATAAGATGATTGGGGGTGGATTTGCAGAGTCCTGAGGGCACTTTTTTTTTGAGACAGGGTTTCTCTGTGTAGTTTTGGTGGCTGTCCTGGATCTCACTGACCAGGCTGGCCTCAAACTCACAGAGATCCACCTGACTCTGCCTCCTGAGTGCTGGGATTAAAGATGTGTGCCACCGCCACCCGGCCCAAGGACACGTTTAAAGAATATTGTTAGATGAGCATGGCCCACTTGGCTGACTGTGTGCAGAATGTTGTATATCGAGTGACTACCAAGCATCAACAATGTGGAAGCTGGGGCCTGAGGAAGGAGGCGGTGTGCTGAGTGTGTGCTCACAGGACAAACCCTAGGACCCCAGGAAACCAGACAGTGGTGTGAGACAGCTTATTTGACGCTGAAAGAAGATAATTCTTTCCACTGCCCTCTTTTATACGACAAATAATTCAACTGAATAACAAAATGAGTAACAGCAATTACTAGATGAGAAATAGACAGAGTAAATGTGGTCTTTCGCTGTATTTTGCATATGTGATATGACAGCTGATAGAAATTCTTAAATAAACACCACTATGCAAAAAGAAGTAATTTATTCTTTTTGACTATGCTCAAGGTGTTTTTCCAAAAGGAGAAAAAAAATGTCTATTGTAATGAAGAGCAATACTGAAGCAACCAGTAACTACATTTTAGTAAAAGTATAATTCCTTCCCAAAGTAAAGCCTGGACACTTACTAAATCATCACATTGATGGGACATTTTCTTTCATAACCTACTGTCTACTTAAAAAAAATTAAAATGGCCCAGCGATATAGCTCAGCTTGTAAAGGGATAGCTCAGCCTGACAACCCGGCTTCAACCCCTGGATCCCACATGGAGGGAAGGAGAAAGCAGACTTCCATGCATTGCTCTCTGACCTCTACACACACACACACACACACACACACTCTTACACATACACACGAAGTGGGGAGAATAAATGATTCTTTTAAAGTAAATTCTTGAGGGGCTGGAGAGATGACTCAGAGGTTAAAAGAACTGGCTACTCTTCCAGACGTCCTGAGTTCAATTCCCAGCAGCCACATGGTGGCTCACAACCATCTATAATGAGATCTGGTGCCCTCTTCTGGCCTGCAGGCATACATGCAGGCAGAACACTGCATACATAATAAAATAAATTTTAAAAATAAATAAATTCTTGAAAAAAATATAATTTCAAAGATAATATTTAAGCTCAGTAATATATTTCAAGGTATGAACTGAAATTTG